AGAACAAGCTTAGCAAAAGCATCAGGGACCGTGGTTCAATCCCCCAGCACCACATGCCGGCCAGCCCCGCCCCCTGGTGGGCTGAGCTGGCCTCTCTCTCTCTCTCTCTCTCTCTCTCTCTCTCTCTCTCTCTCTCAAATAAATAAATAAATAAAATTTAAAAAAAAAAGTCAAAAGCATTCGTATATACAAGCAACAAATGCACTGAGAGAGAAATTATGTAAACCAGCCTTGCAAAATAACATCCAAAAAATGAATGCTTAGGAATCAATCTCATAAAAGAAAACATTTACACAGTGAAAATTACAGTACTCTGAGAAAAGACATCAAAGAGGATTTCAGAAAACTGAAGGATATTCCTTGCTCCTGGATAGGAGGAGTCAATATTGTGAAAATGGCCATACTCACAAAATTGTGATACAGATTCAGCACAGTCCTGAAACATTCCTAAAATTCATCTGGAACCAGAACAGACCTAGAGGGGTCAGCCAGATAGCTCAGCAGACTAAAGCACCTGCTTAGGCAGAGCTCGAAGCCGGGGGTCGATCCCCGGCTTGCCATGCCAGCCCCACACCCTGGGTGTGCTGAGACAATGATTGAGACTGGGCGTGGTGGTGTACATCTGTAATCCCAGCACTTGGGAGGCTGACAACAGAAGAATCACTATGAGTCCAATCTACATAGTGAGTCCCTGTACACCCTGTAAATCCTGTACCAAATATGTAAAAAAAAAAAAAGAACAAGCGCAAAAGCAATTCTACACAACAAAGGGAAGGCAAGAGGCATCACAATCCCTGACTTGAAATTATACTACAAGGCTACTGTGATAAAATCAGCATGGTACTGGCAACGAAATAGACCTGAGGATCAATGGAATAGATTAGAAGACCCTGAAGCCCCTACAAACACACTCAGCCACCTTATCTTTGACAAAGGGTCCAAACATATTAACTGGAAGAAAGCCTCTTTAATAAATGGTGCTAGAAAAACTGGCTTTCCACACTCCAAAGGTTAAACTTAAACCCAGATTTATCACCATACACTAAACTACAGTCAATATGAATCAATGATTTAAATATTAAAATTGAAACACTAAATCTTCTGGAGGAGAAAGTAGGTAGAAATCTTAAGAGACATAGGGGTAGGCAGAGTGTTCATGAACAAAAACCACACTGCACGGGAAACACTTCAAAAAATCAACATTTGGAACCTCATCTTTTTGAAAAGTTTCTGCACATTAAAAGAAATCACTGGGCTGGTGAAATAGCTCAGCAGATTAAAGCACCTGCAAGCAGGTGCAGAGACCAGGAGTTCGATCCCCGAGCCTGCCGTGCTGGCCCCACCCCAGGGGTACGCTGAGCCGGCAATTGAGACTGGGTGTGGTGGTGCGTGCCTGAAATCCCAGCTCTTGGGAAGCTGTAAACAGGCTGATCACTAGGAGTCCAATCTAGTAGTGAGACCCTGCACACCCTGTAGACCCCTCCTTCGCTAAAATATGAAAAAAAAAATCACCAACACAGTAAAACGGGAACCCATGAATTGGGAAAACGTTATAGCCAACTGTCCCTCAGACAAAAGACTTCTACACATATAAGTATACATATACATATAAAGAATTTTTTTTAATTTTTTAAAAATTCAAGAATCGGCCCCCTCAAATTCAAAGATCCACCCAAAAAAAGAAATTCAAAGACCCAATCCAAATCTGAGCACATGAGGTGAATATACACTTCACAAATGAAGAAACATAAGTGACAAATATATGAAAACATGTTCAGTATCACTGGTTATTCAAGAGACACAAGTTAAAACAGCACTGAGATTCCATCTCACCCCAGAAAGCATGACTATCATCAAGAAATCAGCCAGCGACAAATGTAGAGGGGGCGTGGGGGAAAGGACACTTCGCCACTGTTGGTGGGAGTGCAGACTGGTCAGCCACTGTGGAAGTCA